ATCCAGTAACCAAACCAACCTATCTTCCCAATCAAACTGAGGTAACTTAATAGCTAGGATCTTATCAGAGACCACTGGGAGGAACAAATTTCTGACTACATCTACTTTCTAGGATCTGGTTCTATGGTCAATAAGGTCACTCACTAAGTGAACATCAAGGTCACCTGATCTAAGACCTTGAATTTTACCTCCAAGAAGTCCTAGAATCCAGGGATCATCCCATACTGATATGTTCATACCTAACCCCACTGCCAAACACACCCCTTGGAGCATTAGTTCTCTTCCCTTGAGAATACTATGTCATCCCTAGGATTTTGTGGATGGTAGAACACCATTCAGAAATGATTTACTTTTGATGTACTTCCCTCTAATGATCCTGTCCCATAGGCTATCCTCCCCTATGGCCAATCTCCAAGCTAACTTGGCTAATAGAGCTAGATTAAACCTACTTGGATCCCTAAATCCCAACCTCCCATTGTGCTTAATTTTACTCAGATTATCCCACTCTATCCAATGAACAGTTCTCTTGTCCCCATCTGATCCCCACCAAAAGTCTCTTTGAAGCTTCTTTAGTTTTTCATCAACACTTGTAGGGATATAGAAACTAGGGCTGTTCATAAGAATGCCCAACCCGACCAAACTGACCAATCTGGACCGACCCAACCCGAGTCGGCCGGGTTTTCATCAGTATCGATCGATTTCGGGTTGGGCAAATATATAAACAGATATATCGGATCAGTTTCGGTTTTCTTGTGTGAAAACCAAAACCAACCCGACCTGAACCGAACTAGTCTTCTTCTAGTTCGGTAGTTCCTAATTTGAGTAGTTTCCTACTTAACTATAACTAGTCTTCTACTAGAACTAGAAGGCCCATTAGGCAATTACAATTAGAATAGGCAATCCATCCTAGTTTCTAACTTTCTATAATCTTTTACACCAAATAGGCAACCCATTAGGCAATTACAATTAGAATTCAATTAGGTGTCCTTTTGTACAGGAGAAAAACTGAAACCGACCCAACCCAACTCAAACCGACCAGGTCGGTTTGGCCTATCAGTGGGTCGGTTTTGGTTTCCACCTCAGGTAACCCAACCAAGTCGGGTCGGTTGGGAAATCTCAATAAACCGACCCAACCCGACCCGTGAACACCCCTAATAGAAACAAGGCATTGCATAGGTTGGTAAAGCATTCAAAACAGCCTTAATTAAAACTTCTTTGCCAATTTGGTTCAACATCTTACTCCTCCACCCGACTTTCTTCTTTTTTATTCTTTCTATAAGGAAATCAAACATCTTCACTTTGGATCTGCTAAAGCTTGGGGGACGGCCTAAATAAACCGAAGGTTTTGAAACCAGTTTAATGTGAAGACTTCTTGCCAATAATTTTTGGATTCTATGATGAACATTAGCACTGAAAGAAATTTTAGATTTGTTCATATTCACCTGTTGCCTTGAAGCCCGTTCATACACCTTAATGGCCTCCAAGATTTTTTGCCCCTCTAATGGATCAGTCTTCGTGAAAATGTAACTATCATTAGTAAATGATAGATGGGAAATAGTTGGACACTCATGATTTATTTTAACTCCAGAAATCTATTTTGTTTCAACCAGATTTGTCAGTAAAGCAGAGAACACATTAGAAACTATAAGAAAGAGATAGGGAGATAGGGGGTCCACTTATCTAAGCCCTCTACTTGGAAAGATCTTTTTTCCTTGAGACCCATTTACTAGAACTTGATAAGACACTAAAGTCACACACTCCATAACCCATCCTATCAACTTCTCCCCCAAACCCAATTTCTCCATCACTCTCCTAAGGAAGGGCCACTCCACTCTATTATAAGCCTTGCTCATGTCTAATTTTATGGCTATAAACCCTTGTTAGCTTTTGTTCTTTTCAAGTGATGAAATGGTTCATGAGCTATTAGGACAATATTTATTATGTTTCTTTATTGCACGAAGGCACTTTGGTTAGGAGAGATGATTTCCTTTAGTTTAGGTTTTAGCCTATTAACCAGGATTTTTGCAATTATTTTATAGATTGTGTTGCACTGGCTAATTGGTCTGAACTGACTTGGATCCTCAAGGTGTTCCACTTTAGGAATCAGAGTTGTGAAGGTATTATTTAGTTCTCTAAGAAGCGTACCCTCCCTAAAAAATTAATTGCTTCTCTGACATCATCTCCTACAATGTCCGAATACCTTTGAAAGAAAGAGTTCGGGCATCGGGACCAGGAGCCTTTTTCAGGTGCATTTGGAAAAGAGTCTTTGTGATCTCTTCATTGGAGATCTCCCTTTCTAGAGCATTTGCTTCATCTCTGTCAAAGACCTTATTTATAGGGCCTATAGCCATGCTTCAAAGTATCGATATGCCTCTATGTATTGGTAGAGGTGTATCGGTACTTAGATAACACAGAAATGGTTTTTTTTTTCAAAACTTGGTTTTCAAAGAGTTAAAAAAGAGTATTTTCTATTAAAAAATAGTGGGGTCCCAAATTGAAACACTTGTAAATAGGCGTATCAGGACCCAAAAGATACGATATGATACACCCAATACGGGGCGTATCGTATTGATTTTTTGAACCTTGCCTATCTTCCAAGTTTTTAGGGTATGAGGAAGTGAACAGATTGCTAAAGAAACTTGTAAAAACCTCTATGATCTTATCTTGTTCCTCTTCCCACTCACCATCACAGTTTTTGATTCTTAAGATTCTATTCCTTACCCTCTTACTTAGGGTAGTGTGGTGAAAGTAACTTCTATTTTGATCACCCCATTTCATCCAACTACAACTTGACTTTTGAGCCCAGATTATCTCTTCCCTTTACATCCATTGATCCAACTTTTCCTCACAATCCTTAACTTTTTCCCCTGAATTAGAAGTACTAGCCTCCCCTTAGTGCTTGCTCTAGTTCTGTTTGGGCTTCCTTAATTTTTGAGTTGAGATCACCAAAACTTTTTCTATTCCAAGTTTTAAGTTCACTCTGCAACCATTTACATTTATTTCTCAATATAACCTGTTTCAAATCCATCACTACTTTCTTCCAGTGTTGTTCAATGATCTTGGAGTAGTCCAAGTGGGTACTCCATATATCTTCAAACCTAAATGGTCTTCTCCTTTTACCAATATTAGGGGCTTTATTGAGAATTATTGGCAAGCGATCTGAACCCCCAAAAGGTAGATGAAAAACTACTGGTTCAGGGTGCAGAATCAGCCAATCCTTGTTCCCTAATGCTCGGTTTATTTTTCTTTGATATTATCATTTCCTTCTCTTATTATTAATTCCAAGTGTATTCTAGGCCAAAGGAGGGAATCAATGATAAATTTATTTCCTGAATTGCTCTAGTATTCCTCTATAGGACCCGATGTGTCTCTATTATCCCACCTAGTTTATCCTAATAAGAAAAGGTAAGATTCAGATCTCTAATTCAACACCAAGGGACCCTGCATTTCCTTGCGACTTGCTTCCAATTTTCCAAGAATACCTTGCTATTCTTTTTTTTTAGGTTCTCCATAACAGAAGGAGCAAAACCATTCCTTTTGATTTTCATGAGTGATCACAGTAATGATTAAACTCCTAGTTTCCATTAAGCTACATTTTGTCTCCATAAAAAAGAAAACAATAAGCTTTTCTTTATTTAGGATCCTCTTCATTACAGGAACTATCCGTGGGGAACCTAAACCCTGGCAGTTCCAACTTGCTAGCTTCATTCCTTCTTGGGGAGTTGTTCTTGGATAACCCTCCAAAACTTCAATGAAAAACACAACTGCTCCCAATTAGGAGTTTTCTTTCTTGATTCTATGTAGCTTACTCCATGGTCACTCCATAAATTAGGCAGGAAATACAATTGTGAAAGAGCACACCTTGTAAATCTCACTGGCTTTTCTCCTTTCCTGATTTTTTGAGAAGATTTAAACATAGATGCCTTCCTTTTCTTGAAGACACCATCATCACCAAGGCACACTTAATGGACTTTTTTTGGGTTTTTAATAGACAGCGCTTGTAGCAATTTGCTGATGCATTTCTATCAACAGATCACCGCTTAAAGATTAGCTTTATTGCCTTCTTCCCAAAAATAAATCCAATATTTTTTACTTTATAAAAACTAGAACTGCATTATCTAAAACTTCAACACCAAGAGATAAGAGAGGGAGAATTTTTAGGTGTCGAACATACCTCTGAAATTGCCTCCATTGGGTCCCTAGTGGGGGCTGATATCAAAAAGGAGTTGGAACCCTATTTAGTTTCCTTCATCAAAACCAGGGGCCTTAGACTTCAAGTGGCTTCAAACTTTGATTTTTGAAAAACATGTATTTGGTCGGCTCTAGATTCCACAAACCCAAATCCGAAACCTACACCATTCATTTCTAACATCAGCCTTTTAAGCTTGATTGCAACTTTTCCTTTGGGCACATTAATGGTCTCTTTCAGCCTCAAACAATGCTCTTTTCCTTTTTTCAACACTTTCCTTCTGGTCCAAGATTTCCCCTTCTCCCAAAATCTTGTCCTGTTTGGTCTCCTATTGAACTAAGATCTCAATAATAACCCCCAAAGCTTTCCTAGAATGGGAAAAAACTTTGTCCACTTGAGATTGTAAATCTGCTCTATTCCTGAAACCGGTAAAACTTGAACCCCCCACTTCTGTCAAATTTGCTTTATTCCTAGAGTTTCTACACGAAGGGTCATCTTGCCGGAGCGGGAACACCGGCGAGATTACCAACTTGAAGTTTTGGCCAGTTAGGTAATCCTCCATATGGAATTGGTTTTTGCCTTCTCTACTTGACGAAAAACTACTACAAGAAGCAAGCGAAAACTCTTTATCTTGTTCTTTCAAAAACTTACCACCATGAACCTCAGGGGAGCCTTCACTTGAGCCTTCCAAGTCATTCCCAAGTTCATTTGGCTAAGTTCCTTTCCCGATGACTTCTTCGTTCTAAGTTTTCTCGATCTTCCTAGGTTTATTGATGAACTTTACCTCCTCTTCGTCATTCTCTGCTCTGAGCTAACGGCCATAATCCTTAAGGATTCCTGATTTTGTCGTTGAGTGGCAAGCAAGTTTCTCTGCAAGGTCATCAATAGGATCCTTTCTCTCCTTAAAACCGCATGCTTCAACTACATGTCCCACACTGCCACACAAAAAACATAAGATCGGGAGGTTTTCATACCTTACAATATGCCAATTTTCCCCATTGTCCTTTCTCACTCTTTTCACTAATTTCACTAAAGGAGTGGTTATATTTATCTTGACCTTTACACAGAGGTGCATGTCCCATTCTAGACTTTTTCGGTCTTTTGCATCATCTTCCTCTAAAGGAACAAGAGTACCTATTTGAAGGGCTAGTTTTTTAACATAAGCCCTAGACATATATTCAACCGGGAGATCAAGGATTCGCACACAGATGTTTAGAAACTTGAAACTCATATCACTATACTTCAGATCAGCTTCCCATTTACGAAGTAAGATATGATAGGTTTTGAACAACCGTGATTGATTCTTAAGCACTCTTTTACAATCTTCTTCCCTCCTGAAGATGATAAAGAAAACATCACCCCTTAATCTTTTCACATCATAGTTTAGGATCCTCTTCTTCCACATATTTTTCAATCTCTCTAACTCCATAAGCATTTAGAGGTTTATCCAATATCACCTTGCCAAAAAGACATAGTTTGCATTTCTCTTCTAGACTTAATGCTTCCTCCATCAACCTTCGACTATAGTTGAAGTCCCTATACGAGTGAATAAAAATACAAGATCCTCAACAAGCGCTCACTGTGAGCAGGTAGAGCTCAAGGTGAGCATAAGTTGACAATTGATTAATGAGTCCATTTTCTAGATCAATAACACTTTAAGTGCCTAATCAATATGATCCTAGAAAGGCATCATACCGGAAAGGCTTTGGCTAATCACCCTCCTTCTCCATGAATTTTGGTAAAATTCCACCTGATTGGCTCCTATTTCTATGATGGTTGTAGGTTTATCCGGTATCATATCTTTCTAGTATTATAGTGAAACCCTTTTCTACAAAACGTGTTTATGGTCGGGGGACTCACATTGCTGATTATGCTTAAGGGATTGTTAGCTAGTGCTGCAACTTGGGTTCGGACAACCCAAAAAATAAAGAAAAGGGCGATCGGTTGAATAAGGGCTAGGGCTATAGTATGCCAAATTAGTTGATGTAAAATCAGGGTTGTGGTAAAGTTTTAAGGTCATTAACAACCTAGTGTTCATATTTATAGTTATTTATTATTTTATAACTATGTATATGGATGCATTAATTTAGGGTCATTTACTTGGACACTCCCTCTATTAAAATCTACCCTCTATTTTGTGTATTACTAAAATATACCCTATAGTTTGTGTATGTTTTAGGGATGCTCAACAAAAACCAAAAAACTTAACTGAACTTTGGAAATTAAACTGATCAATTCGATTTTGGTTTGGTGTTTTGATAAAACCGATGGTACCAATTTAATTTGTTTTTTGGTTAACCTAAAAGAAAAACCTACAGTTAATCAAACCAACCACTATGTTTATTTATATATATGATATATATTTTAATATATACTATCTTATATATAGTATAATTTTTTATGCATTATATCTATATATGTGTTATATTTTTAATTGTCTATTTATAATATAATATATTATATATTTATATATTTTTTATAATATATTAAAAATATAAACAAATCAAAAATCCAAAAAACCAAACCGGTCAAAAACCATACTGATTGACCAGTTAACTGATTAGTTTTGGGGCAATTTTGGTTCACGGTTTTTTATAAACTGGTGATACCATTTCAATTTCAAAAAATAGCTCATGCTTTGGTTAACCGAACCATGAGCACCCCTAATATGTTTTACTTAATTGACCCTCCATCAAGAACTATTTGTATTTTCATCTGAAAATAGTCACACGACCCCTTATTAAGGGGCATTGGTCTAAGGTTTTTATTCCAAAAACAGTCCTAATAATTCTCTTTTCAACCTTATAGAAAATAAATATGCCCCTTATTAAGGGGCATTGGTCTAAGGTTTTTATTCCAAAAACAGTCCTAATAATTCTCTTTTCAACCTCATAGAAAATAAATAAGTCCTCTCCCTACATTATAACTTTGTTTGGAAAAGAAGTGGATTACATGTGATATGAGAACTTTTATGAGTATTTTTGAAATAAAAAACCTTAGATCCATGCCCTTTAACATTTTCTACTCACTTTAAGAGGTCCAGTGGCCACTTTCAAATAGAAATACAAAAGGTTCCTAACGGGGGGGGGTTGGATAACAACCCATCAGAGGCCTTACATTAATAGTACTTTGCATTTGTCTGAGATATTGTTTTAACTGTAACTAATTAAGATCAAACACCCCACAAAAAAAAAACAAAGCCATCATTCACAAACTAGAACATAAATGCAATATTGAACAAGAAAGAAATTACCAAAGCTGACAACAAAGTTCTAAGAAACTGATGATGAGAAACAGTGATTTACAGAACAGCACTAGTCAAATAAAAACACAGCATACATCTAGCTTAGAACAACAGCCTCCCCATGCAAAAAAATAGGCTAACAACCCATCAGAGGCCTTACATTAATAGTACTTTGCATTTGTCTGAGATATTGTTCTAACTGTAACTAATTAAGATCAAACACCCCACCCAAAAAAAAAAAAAAAACAAAGCCATCATTCACCTTTGAAGCCGCAGCTTTATATGTATGTATATATATGTGATCAATCCTGAAAAGCTTTGAGAGGATCACGAGGATCAATATCTGCCAAGAGGGGGAGATCAACAGGTAGGGTTTCAAGACTCAAGCCGCCCTGACTAAGCCTTTCCACAACCTCTTCAAACACAAGTTTGTTACCAATGGAGGTGAGGTGCAACCCATCTCTGCGCAGTTTCAGTGGCAAAACATATGATAATAAACTACTAAATGTTTCCAATATGTTACGTTACACGGCAAAACGAGAACGTACATTACATTAATTCTGAAACAGGAAATAATGAAGCATAATCAAGTTTCAACTACTGCCTACAGGCGAGGTCTGGGTTTGGATCCTCTGTTGCATCAAAATAGGGAGAGGAGTACAGAATTATATGCAATTTACCAACCACTAAGGATGGGGCGTTATACTTCAGATGCTAGTACCATTTGAGATTTGAGTATTTGGACCTGGTTGGCTTTGTCGATATTATAGTTTTAGCAGGCAGTACATTAGTGTACCAGTACTATTTCGAAAACTGAACCATATCTAAAGGACAGATCAAAGTTGGACCCGACTTTTCAATGAACCAGTGAAGCTGAGAGGTGAACAGATCAAACCATCAAAACCAAAAAATCTAGGACAATTATTTTAAAATTTAGTGAAATCTATGGTTTGTTCTCCTAAGAAATTTTTATTGGTTTTCTGATTGTATTGTTCCAAACTCCTTTAATTTGTATTGTGAAAAATTCGATCTTTCACCCAGTTGTACAAAGCTATTAAAATTTATAAGATAGGAGAATTTATAAAAACCTCTCATAGCAAAAATGGCTGAAACAAATACACCACTGTTCCACTAAGCTTGTTTAACTAAAATCCTTATCCCAGGCTTAAAAAAGAAAAACAAACATTAAGTAAAATATTATCCCATAATCCCATTTAAAGGTATAAATACAAACTGTTCTTTCAATTCAAGAATGGATTACTTGAACTTAATGGCTGTGTTCGATGCTGTGTAACCAAAAATAATGCCTCACATCAGCCGTGCACAAGTAGGGATACCATTGGTATTTGAAAATTCGATTTTAAATTCACGATTCGACATAGTTTAATCAAATCCCATTTATTATATAATTCATATATATAATATAAAATATTTAAATATTTTAGGTAATTCATATACAAAATATTTAAATTATATAAATAATTTATATATTTATGTTCTTTATATAAATAAAATATTTATTTTAGTCCAATTTGGATATCAAATTTTCTAATCAAATTCAAATTTGGATATTGCTTAATTGGGTGTGGGGTATATATTAGGGGTGCAAGTCAGGCGGGTTGGGCCGGGTTTATGGTCAACCTAGGCCAAACTCTAAGATTTGGGCTCAAAGGCCCGAGCCCAATGCCAAGCCCTATCTTCTCAATCTAAGCCTAACCCATATTGTAATTTGATGCACTTGAATTGGGCTTGGGCTTGGGCTGTGCTTGGATTGTAAATGAGCCTGCTCTAAAATTATACATATATGCATATATGTATATATATAAACACACACACATATATATATAGAAAGAGAGAGAGACTGGTCTCGGGTCAAATTTGGGTTACCTATGGACTAGGCCCGAATCCAGTCCAAAAGAATAAAAGAAAAATCTCGAATTCTTGGACCCAGGCCCAGCCCAAGCATAAAAATCTAAGCTCAGCCTATATAAAATTTCGAGCTGAATCAGTTTGGGCTCAGCTGAGCTAATCCGGACTCAATACATGAAACAGTGTCTCCTTACATGCTCAAGCATGTATTTCTATTAACGACTTAGCGATGGGTCCAAACTCAGAGGTAATCAGCAAATCCGGATCGCCCCAAAAGGGCACTAATGTTGGCAGAAAAGTCTATGTAGTATTTACAGAAATATAGGGTCATGTCATGCAGACGGGTCAACCCAACTTCAAAACCGGAAGTGGATCGAATTCCGCATTATTTACATCACAGGTGACTTCCCCAATAAAAATGAGGTTCTAATGGGCCCCTCCCCAATACCCATGATGGGTAAGACACCACCTTGGGATTTTGGGTTGGCTTCTGCATGGAATTTAAGGAATAATAAAGGGAAGAGTGGATTTACCTAAGACAAGCCTTCTCCCAGCCAGGAAACTGCTGCATCTTGGACCAGAGATCAATAACAGCAACTCCACATTCTCCGGCAACCTCGATGCAGGCTTTGGCATAAGCGCCGGCAGCCTGGTTCGTTCTCTCAGGCAAACCGGAGGGGTTATCTCCGTAAGGATGTCTGCATTTATCACAATTATATCTTCTGGTTACAACTGTACGTAAAAGGACTTTAGACCGGACAACCATAAGTAGTAATTGAGACTTGTTGTAAAGATAAGAAATAATTGAAGTAGAAAAGCCGTACTTGAGGCGTCCGTCTTCATCGATGGGAGGTGGAGTGATGAGGAGTACCAAAGTGGTAGGCCATCGCTTCTGCATCCAAATATGTAATCACATTTTTATAAGCGACGATATGGAAATATTGCAAAGCACCTATAAGCCCTATTGTCGAACACTTGGTGGATGAGCCACGCACACGGCAGACGGGCCCAGAAGTGTTAGCAGGCCTCGACTAAATGACACACTTGGTGCTACGGCCGGGCCCCTTAGGCCTGCCTACACCCCTTGAAAATATCCAAAATCCCAAACCTTTTATATTTTGAATATCATTGGAATCTGACTTGTTGATATAGTACAATACAACATACTCTCTTTTTTTTTCCTTTAATTATTAATGTTTCTTTACCTTTTTCCTTAAAAAAAAAGAAACCTAAGTTTTATATATTTTTTTGATACGTTTTTTGGCTGACCTATTTGAGTATTTGTTAAATCTTTGTACATCATTGTGATGGATGGCTTAGATCTTTGGGGTTAATTCGTTACATCATTTACTATTACCACTTTCATGGCCTAGCACATTTGAAACCGTCGCAGTACAACACTTGGAGTTTCAATATTAATTTATTAAACTTGAAACATGAATATATTGGTGTAGATCTTTTGTAAGGACATTGTGACTAGAAATATCTCTTGTATAGTATTGAATAGAAGAAGAACAAAATTGTCTTCTAAAGTAAGGTAAGAGAGTTTTAGGGTATTAGAAATGTACGACAATGCACGTGAAATACTATTAATTCCTCCAATGAAATAATGGTGGAAGGGGTTGTTTCTCACGACACACAAGTACAAAATAGAGGGCTAAGTGTTACACCCCACAAAGTACATGGGTTCCCCATGACAACATGATCACAGAATCATCTTTTAGTTTTCTTTAACTTGTATTGGAAATGGTCACAATTGCAAAGAATATATATATATATATATATAATGGATAATACATAAAGAGGTTCCCAAAGTGCATGTGATGTGATCATGGTCATGCCCTCATCCTTTCCTTAGAAGTGTTGATGACCTAATAACTGAGATGATATCAAGGCACTGGATCAAACCCATGTAATTGCAAGCTATTTATGGTAAAAAGTCAGTGAACCTCACATTCACCTTACTCCGTGCTTCTGCCTACCATTTAAATGTGTTATATGTATAATAATACCCAAAAAAAATCAAATGACCATGTTTTGCAATTGCTCTATAAGACTTTAGGCTCAGTTTGGGAATAGTGCAAATACAAGACTTTGAAATATTATATACAAAGTGATGCATTGAACATTATTTATATTTATACTCTTTCCAAACAGAGCCTTAGGTGGGAAAGGGAGAATGGAGAGGAGAATAAAACAAATCAAACAAATTCTCCCACCTAACAAGTTTGGGGTGGAAGGAGACCTCCCACCTCTGGCCACTTTGTTCTGGTTTATTTTGACAACAAGAGCCGCAAAGATAGACTTCATCCACTCACCTCCATTATCAGTTACCAATTTCATCATTGATAATCTGAACCCATCACGTGGAAATGCCCATATATTTAATCAGTCCACCAATGGGTCCTTTCCTTCTTTATTTTCTTTCCTTTTATAATTTTGGCAAGAGTAGCTAACTAGCTATTATTTCTAATTAGAAGTCTCCTAAAAATAAGCAAAGCTTGTTTTTGGGCCTAAGGTAGGGGCCTATAATCTATTGGGTGGAAACTTGTTATCTTCTATTGGCAAGGACTAATAGGCGTGGGAGCAGTGGGAGTAGGGTTGCAACTTGGGCTGGGTTTGGTTGAAGCTTGGGTTAGGGTTGGAATATATAAATCCAATTTGACTTCGGGTTGGTTTAAATTGAAACTTTGATTGACCCAACCAAATCTGAGCTGGACTTAACTTCATATTTGTATATAAGTATTATATAAATATGTATTTATATGTATACAAGTACTTTTATATAGGTGTATTTATGCATCTATGTATATGCAATTATCCATCTATTTATGCATCTAAAACATGTTACCTGTGTTCGTTATACATGTAATAATGTTAATATATTGAATCTATAATAAATGTATTTGGCAAAAGGAAACAAAGAAGTTGGGCTAACCTGAACCCAACCAGAAATTTTTGGGTTGGGTTAGGGTTGGCCTCAACCTGAGCAAACCCAGCCCTATCACCCCTAGGTGGAAAGTTCCTATAATAGTAAACCATCTATTACCCAAAGTACCCTAAACAGCAAACTTTGTCAGAGGTCATAAATATAACTGGTTGTAACCAGCTAGTGGGATTCTCTTTTGTTGGAGCTGAACTAGCTGGACTTCTCTCTGGAACTGGAAGAGGATCTGACTACCACGGTTGAACTCTCCCATGATGATTAGGTAGGGGTTACTGCTGCACATCAGCATGAATTTCATAAAGGGGTGGACTGTGGAGAGAGGAAGGCGGGGGGGGGGGTCCCCGATCCAGCTAGTGTCTACTGTCTAGTTGGAATTAAAGAAAGGTTATCAATTTGCATCTGCAGCAACAAACAAAGAGACAATTGGGGACTCCTCGAGAACACACATTGCTTGGCAACACCTATCTCTTTCTCTTAATTGGCTTATTTTGGCCTTTATTTGTATTCACTATTCTCCCACCCCGTACAAAGAACTTCCAATTGGAGAATTAATGGGGTTAATGCTGCATCAACCCTCAGAGACCTCAACTTGTCTCATGAGCACTACGTATGGTCACACCCACACTCACCCAACTATAGTCACCAGAGTTGCCATGAAATTAATCATGGACCATTAAGATAGGGCGTAGCTTTGCTTTCTCTGGTTCAGTCCCCCATTTTTATCACTCTCCTCCTTAGTGGTTGGTAGTAATAATAGATAGTTCATAGCTATTGCTTGTTTTCTCTCGATCGACGCTTCTTTAGTTCTAGTTTCTTCTACGCGAGATGGGAAAGGGGGGGTGCAATGAAGCTGACTCTGGCACATTTCTTACCTATCTTTCTGTCATCACCTTTCTTTCTTGTAGAACTTGTTGCAGAAAGGGGACTTGAAGAGAGAGAGAGAGAGAGAGAGAGAGAGAGAGAGAGAGAGAGAAGGAGAGAGAACCTTAATAAAAGAGATGATAGAATGGAGATTTTGCTTGTATTCTTGGAGAGGCACATGTTGGAAAGCACTGCTTCTGTCAGGAAGAGAAGCATCGTTGGCGCCGAAGAAAACGGTCATCGCCAAAGGCGCACCACCACCATCTCCCACTTCCGCTGCCGGGAATAACCTCTCCGCGATGTGCAGAGCCCATCGGGTGTTGTACCCACTATAACCTCGGAGCACCACGTCAACCTTCATCCACCCACAAAACAAAATATCCAAACTGTTAACCCTAATCCTCGTCTCTGACGAAATGATCGGTTCAAAAACAATCAGAAAAAGAAAGAAAAAACCAAGTATACATATCTTCACTATAAAGTCACAAGCAATTGCAAGAGTATATATAAGAAGAATACCGTGCGAGAGAAATTGTTGGCAAGAGCAGCTCCCCAGCCTCCCTCGCCAAAGGATTCTTCCGTGATGGAGTCTCCAAACAGAACGATCTTCGGTCTCATCTTTCAGGAATTAATAATCTGTTAGTGTGCGATTGGATATCCTTGTTCTTCTATCTTCAAACTAAACTCCGAAGAGACTTGGCGCTATATTTGTTCACTGATTCCTTCACCTCACCTGGCTCTTCTAAGTAAATATACAGATGCAGCTCCTCTAGCTTCTCCTTCTTTCTCACTAAAGCTGCTCCACCGTAAATGCCTAACCAAATAATTGCATAGCCATAAAAAGAAGGTAATCTAAGTAGAGATTTTTATTACAGACACAAGGGGACTGATGTTACTCACTCATGGATTTCCACTTCAATCTCTCTCCTCTCTCTCTCTCTCTCTATCGTCTTTTGACAAGACTAAAGTTCTAGATTGCCCCCTCTTAAGAAAGGGAAATATCAAATATCAATTAGGTCAGACTGTGTTAGCCCAACTACTCAAAGAACGGGTTGGGCTTGGGCAGACCAGATTCAAAGAGGGAGTCCTCCACTGTTGATTCCTCTAGGGAAATTTGGGAAACCCACGCCCACCCCACAAATTTTAACCTCACCTTACACTCACAACCACAGTTATAACATCATAATCCCCTTCCCTTTGTAGTCCCACCATGTGGATCAATTGGACAAAACGATGCTCCTCATTGCTCTCACAGAAGAAGCTTTGATCACTTGTAAAGAAATTAAAGGGGGCCGGTGATGGGGCAATCACTTCCACTTCAAAGACAGTATAAACTGTAAGGCTCTAAGACACAGGATGAATGTTTCCTTTAATAAAGCTTGACTAATCAAGTATAGCCGCCCTCTTCTGAATCGGAGCAAAGCGTTAAATGCCGATAAGAGAGATCCTGCTCCACAATCCATGAACCGTCATGATTGTACATTTGTACAATTGTACTCTCAAGCCTGGACTCTGAACCCAGCTGCACCATGCGCTATTTCTGTAGCCGCCACTCAGTACTCACAGTTAATAAATGCACCACGAGGGTAGTTTAGTCAATTAACAATTATCAGGGTTTTTTCTTTACCTCCCATCTTATCTTTGTTTCGGATTTTATCATATCCGATTCGATATCTGATTAAATGTTATATAATTACATGAAGATTAATTATAATTAAGAAGTGGTTGACATTTTTTTTCCTTCTTTTGAATTATTAGATTTTTCTCTATTTCAAACATACATAATAAGTTGGATTTAGAATCCAAAAACTGGTGGGATCTGAATCCGATTAGGGGATGGGGGCTTACTTTTGAGCAACAAGGCCCACAACGCACAAGTGACGTTTAGCAAGGGGCCTGCCCATATGTGGCAGCAGCTCTGTTTAGAGATGGAATGGGTCGGATCTACCCGATGGAATCAAATTAAACGAAATTGATTGCACAGGTTCTGATTCTGACTCTGATCAGTTTTGTTTCTCGATTATAAATGGGTAGATACCCAATTTTGCTTTTCTGAATTGATTAAGTCCCGAATTCAATTACATAATCAATAATATATAAAGGTCTTATGATTTTTTTTTTAACTATTATTATATTTTATGTGTTGTAAGGGTAATTTTTATATAATATAAAAGACAGTTTTCGTTTAAAAAGACTTGTTTTATCAAAATATAAACAGTTTGCTATTTAGAGCCATTTCTATTATGTTATATTGTCAAAAATGACCCAATTATCCAATTATCTCAATTCATAATTGGTTTGATTCTAATCCCAAGTTTTGTATGTCGATTATCAAAGACCAATTCCACCCTATCCGGAACCAGACCAGACCCATTAACAGCTCTAACTCTACGAGGTGGAGAATGGAGGGTAGAACAAAACTATAAACCAAAGCGTTGCTTAATTAACGTCTGAATTACCAAGTATCACAACCATGGACGGAAATTAATGGGTCAGTCAATCTGTTTAATCACTTGGTAGCCATGTCGTTCCACACGGGCAGAGCTGGTCTTCTTTATTCAAATGTCCGGTCCATTGGATTCGAATGTCTCAGCAGGCTCTCAGCTTTATTGTTTTGGTGGATCATTTATGCATGATTCTCTGTATATAAACCACTTTTAAAGGATACCTTGAACTTTCCACCCACTTTGACTATGGAAAAGGAAAATATGTCAAGATTAAGTGGCCAAGTCTTATTTAATGGCAAAGAAGAAACAAAGAGATCTTGATTCTTCACTTCACTAAATCTATCCATTTCATTTCAAGAGAGATAAAAGTTCAGAGGGAGGAGGAAATAAAAGAAGAAAAAGTAAGGGTAAATTACAAAGACTCTCTTTGTACTTTGTTTTGCAACAAAGACCCTTCTGTATTATAATATTTTGTCCAAAAAGATCATTATAATATTTTTTAATCCCCAAATTATCCTTATAATAACTATTCAGATTAAAAAAGTACTGTTTATCTTTTCCGATCTTTTGATACACCAATAACAGCGGTGGTAATCCCCATATGGGAATGGGATCGTGAGGCTGGTAAGCGTCGAGCACCTTACTGGTGAAACAGCTCGAACATTAACCCAGCAAAAAGAAGTTTGAACTAGAGATCTAGAGAGAGAAAATAGAAAAGAGAAGCAGAGAGAAACAGAGATCGAATTGTGTTCGGCTTACTTGCATAGGACGATAAGCATACGACCAGTCCCAAGTAGACAAAATATAGAGCATACTGCATTTCACCCAAAAAAATAACAAAAGTGAGAAGAATACAAACGAAGATATGAAATGATCGAGTAATGAATACGAGGATTTTGAAAATCTTGGGGAATCAAACCTTGGCGACTTCTTTAGTCATTTTCTTCAAATCCAACTAGTTTTTTCCAAACCCATTCACCATATCTCCGAATAGAAGGAAGAAAACAGGCATGGCAGAGCCATGAACCACAGCTCTTATGCTTCCCGCTATCATCAGAACCCAATCATATTTGTCTGCAAATGAGAAGAGCTGGTAAAAGGGAAGGCTTTGTTCCTTTTTCTTCTCAGCCTCTTGCAAGCTTTTACCTTCTATAGTTTCCGCCATTCGAGCTGCAACCGAAGGCTTCTGCAACTTTCACCTGTAGAAAGGAAATAATGTAAAGGGCGAGCAAACTCAAGAACCTCAGAACAACCTTGCGTCGTATTGCCAGTGAAAAGGAAACATAATTAGAGTTGGTGTTTTACCTAGATTATTAGCAACAAATCGGATCACTGCCCATCCATTCACTGGAACTGCAACAGTATTCCTCATTGATGGATTGACAAGATTGAACTTAGTCGTGTCAGTTTGTGGATTGAAATTCCCAAAGCCCTCTGCAACGATGTAGAAATCATATCCATGGATATGAATTGGGTGGTTCTCGGCTGAGAAGATACAAGTTCATCGTTTTGTACCCTGTTCATCGTCTTCAACCGAAGAGGAGAGGGACAAGGCACGGACCACGTGGAAGAAGAAAGAGGAGGAGAAGAAGAGATATCGGGGGAGAGAGAGAGAAATGTAAAAGAATCTAAGGTAGAGGGGATTACCGCCGCTGTTGTTCGTATATCATGAGGTCGGGGAAGATGAACAGAACGGAAGGCTAAACAAAGAGGGTCTTTGTCTCACGGTCGTAACATAGGGGGATCTTTGTCACAAAACAAAGTACGGGGTCTTTGTCACAGACCCCATAGTACGGGGTCTTTATAATTTATTCAAAAAATAATTGATGAATCTTCGATCTTAAAAATACCTACCTAAGCAAATGTAGGAAAATGTAGGAAATCTTTACAAAACTTATATAGGTTTTCCTATTTTCCTTTTTTCACCTTTTCCTTCAAACAAAACATAGTCTTAGATTTTGACTTTTTTTATTCATATAAATTTTTCAAATTTTTATATTTTAATTCCATTGCAAATTTTGAGGTTCCATTGTTAGTACTGTTTGTTAGAAAACCAAGATACTGCAGACTCGATTTCTCATTGATGAATCATAGAGTACTGACTACTAGTGAGGTAATTTATTATGAACCACGTTAAATCTTTAATTAATCACCCTAGTAAGTACGTGCTGGCCCATCTGCATCAAAAATTGAAGGGTTGCTATCACCCAGATGGACCATAATCCCACTTACTCCATTATTGCTCACCTTTGAAGTATCAATGCCACAGCTATGTCTACCTCAGTATCTCTTCGTGGTCCAGATGCTGCACGCTAAGTGACTCTTATATATCCATCTACAAATTGCACAAATAACAAAAACTCTTCAATGAAACCAAGATCACTACGTAACTTGATGATTCATTTTATTTAACTCAAATTGTGGTGCTATTGATATCTTAATTCGGTTATAGTGCCATCGGCAATTTGGTGTAAGATGAACACGGTGGGCAACCGTCAGTGGCACAATTAGCGATGCAAACGGGGGCCAGAGGTGAAAAAGTTGAAGAAAAGCATGGGCACTAAGGAAAGAGTTAATTAAAAATAATTTAGTGTAAAACGGGCCATGCTGGACCGGTATGGCCCGCGGCTCGAGCCTGCACAAGCCCGTGCCGGTATGTGGGCCATTCCTCTCTCGGTATATTTTGGGGGATTGGCCTAACAAGGCCCATGGTCTGAGCCTGAGTAGGCACGTACTAGGTTGGGCCGTTTTGATGTATACAATTATTTATATATACAATAATTAAATAAAATAGTATAATAAAATTGAAAAAAATATTTATTTTATTAATATATTATATCATTATAATGTATATAATATATAATATATTATATATATATTATATATAAAATGTATATGGGTTGTGTCGGGCCGTGCCAACCCGCCGGCCACGGGTGGCACGGCATGATAGTGTAGGCCATGCCGGCCCGACCCGTTGACCTAAAACCCCAAGCCCGGCACGGGCTTTCAGCCCTGGTCATGAACCCAAGGGTACTGACCCAAAGGAATGCTGAAGACGAGAATATCGGGGAGACGGTAACGAGCTATTAAGGATGGCAATCTGTCTGAGGTCATCGTGGAATGGTCGAAGTTGTCCGAATCCCGACCTCGAGTAGAAGACGAGACCCCCTCTCCGGAGGTCGGCCGCTCTGCTTGAGGTTCGGGTCCCTCAAACCGGGCTGGCTCGACGTCAAGTAAAGGCACTTCTCCTAAAAGATTCAAAGAGGAGCTCTCTAGCGAAAAGCTAGCCTCACCAACAGGAGCTAAGGACTGCACCTCAGCACCCCCGGGCTCACTAGAATCACTAGGTAACCTATCTATGCTAGCACTAGACATATTGGACAGAAAAAGGAAAAGAAAAAGGAAAAGGGGACAACTAGTGCAAGAAGATGAACACACCAAAGAAGGCGATAACGACCTCAGACACAAGGGGAGAAAATGGCGAGCTGAAGGACTCCGACGCGATCTCAAGAAAGCTCAGTTACACGATTTATGGTGAGGATAATGGGCCCTTCGGCCCCTATTTATAATCCACCACATCCGATAAGTGATGGTTGAGATCTGTGCGATTTGACGACTCCCATGAAAATTGGCTACACGCTAGCCGATGACAAAATTGGTTGAGTGCGCCCGTTGACGTCCGTGGAATTTATAAACAGTGTGACGTCTGCGCATAGCCGAGACGCGATCTAGGTCATTTCCTGGTTGAGTTGAATGACTGAACAGGTCCAACCAACGGTCCGCCCTCCATGTCACCTAGACTTCGTGCCAAATCCACATGGACTCATCATGAACTCCCCGCGCCGGGTTAAGACCCCTGGCACGAGAAGTGGGGGGCAATTGATGAAGGGTGATTTGGCACGACCTAGTAAGTAGAGGTCACGTAGACGCGACCTGCTCGAGGGATGA